AAGATTCAGACAATTATAAAAATAAGTACAGGTTGTGCAACAACCATTTCTTTATCACAGAACACAATTTTAAATAAAAGTACTTTCCTCACAACAAGCACACGATTTTCACTACGACTGTACATGAGGGTCTGATTATATCTTTATTGATGTAAATTATAAATACAGTACTAAAAAAATGGAGTTCTTAAAAGTTATATTTCAATAAAGAATACTACTTTAATATATAAAAACATTACAGTTTATATCAGCACAATCAGCGCTTTTCCTGTGCAGTACTTCCCAAAAAGATCCATTTTTAGAAAATGTTCACTTTTTCTAAATTTTTTTTTAATAGTAGCACAAACGGCCGTCTGTATGGTGGTGTTTATGCTAGTATAAATGATAAAAAAATATGTAATAATTAATATTATATAATTATATTAATATGAAAAGGATACCTTTGACCATGTCAGCATATCTTGAATTGTAAATTTTTTTCTGAAAATTCCCTTTTTGTGTCTATTGAAGTTGTCCTGAGCATATTTCTCTATGTCACTTTCTGATGGTGGTTTTTTATTCCAGTAAAAACCAGTGGTCATCTTGCTATCAGCCTGAAACATTTTGTACATTTAATATTACTGATTATATTAACATCTTGTTTCAAAAACCTGAAAACTATCAACAGTTAAATTACACTGCTAAACCTATTAATACTTCATTTTAAAAACCTGAAATATCATCATTAAATAAAATTATTGGTGGTAACAATGCCTTACTCAAGCAGCTTGAAACATTTTCTACATGGAACGTAACTAGTGTTACTGTTGCCTTGTTTTAACAGTCAAAAAATTTATTAGCAGATTTCAGAGGATTTTAAACCCCCTATTGTAAGAACCTGTAAGATATTCACAATATTTTCATAATTCTAGAGCTGCCAACCTCACAAAAGATAACCATATTATTGCCACAGTTCTGGAGCTGTCACCACCCTGAAAGATGACCATCATATTGTCATAATTCTGGAACTGTCAACACCCTGAAAGATGATCATCATATTTCCATAGTTTTGTAGTTGTCAACAGTTTGACAGGTGACCACTGTAACATCATAGTTAAGGAGCTGTCAACATCCTGAAAGATGGTCAGCATATTGCCATAGTTCTGGAGCTGTCAACACCCTGAAAGATGGTGAGAATATTGCCATAGTTTTGGAGTTGTCAACAGTCTGAAATGTGACCACAATATTGTCATAATTCTAAAGCTGACAACATCCTGAAAGATGACCATGATATTGCCATAGTTTTAGAGTTGTCAACAGTCTGAAATGTGACCACAATATTGTCATAATTCTAGAGCTGACAACACCCTGAAAGATGACCATCATATTGCCATAGTTTTGGAGCTTTCAACACCCTGAAAGATGAACATCATAATGCCATAGTTCTGGAGCTGTCAACTCCCTAAAAGATGACCGTCATATTGCCATAGTTCTGGAGATCTCAACTCCCTATAAGATGGTCAGCATATTGACAGAGTTCTGGAGCTGTCAACATCCTGAAATGTGACCATTATGTGCCATAGTTCTGGAGCTGTAAATACCCTAAAAGATGGTCAGCATATTCAAAATATTCTAGAGCTGTTAACACACCTTGGAAAATGATTGGCATATCATCATAGTTCTGTAGCTGTCAACACACCCCATATAATGATAAATATATCTTCACGAATCCAGGACTGTTCAACACCGTAAAAGATGATCTGCATAGCATTCTGGGGTGTGGAATTCTTATCACTTGAAGCATGGTGAACAAGTTTTACTTTTATACTTTGGCTGTTGGACATCTAGTTGTTTTTTTTTCCCATTGTTCATTCTATTACTAGAAAAACACTTCAGGCAGATTTCTAGGGAACCACATAAGTTCCTGAAAATTCTGAACTGCATAAAACTAGCATATAAACACAAAACATACACTCTAAACCTTAAACCAGACCTTTACACATAAATATACATATTCTTTTAATTCACAAACCCCCAGTAATATACACAGTAACAAACATGTTTAAATTAATACAACAATATTATTACATTGCTTTTGTCTACATTAGGAGCCCAATAAAGTTCTACTGCTAGCTCTAGAAGAATATATATAACATAATAAAAGTTACAAAAAGCCTTAAACTGTTTTATATATATATTAAATACTATTTTAATTTGTGGCAGCATTACTGTAAATCATGACTTCTTTGTCAGTTCACATGTGGGGTATTCTACATTCTGTACTGTAAAAAATGAATAAATGTTAAACTACAAAATACATGAACAAATGTAGTATACACCATCTCTAACAAAACTGAGATGCCAATGGCACTGTACTGATTGTGTTCAATGTTAAATAAAAGCAAAAACCTTAAAGTTATCCTCTACATTTTGTGGGCTGGCGAAGGGTAAAGAAGAATTTTTAACAAAGGACAGTTAGATTTTTGTAGCATTTTGTCCCTTGAGAAATTTTTTTTAAAATTCCACACCCCCTGTTATTATATTTCTAAGGTTGTCAACAAACACCCCCGATATAACAGCTTGAAATAAATAATAATAACTCTAAATAATAAAGCAGTTTTCAATTTTTTCTGTTAACCTACATAAAAATATGAGTAAAATAGATAAGTTATGCATTACTGGAGTTGTTTGGTTTGAGTAGTAGAAAATCAGACAACCTAACATTTTAAAACCACAATTGTTTGTACATTCTGCCAGAATTATTTTCATGATGTTCTAATAATTATCACCATACCTTATAAAATTACCAGTCTATTTATAAAAGGTGGATAATAACATGGTTTCAATTAGTTTTCAGCCAAATAGATGTAAATGTTATCAGACACTGACACAGTCTGATGGGTAAATCGGGATTTTCAACTGGACAATAGCAGCATTCACTCAGGTTTAAGGAGTTAAACCTTTGCAAAAAATTAACAATTCAATTTGATAATTTGCTTTTGTTAAGATTACAAAAATAAACACCACTGGAGTAAAGAAAGTTGATTAAGTAAATAATACCAATATTATTGAACTACTTACTTACTTGTCTATCAAAAGATGGTTGGATTACATTTCCTGAGACAATACCTTCTGTCATGCTAGAAACCATCATAGACAATGGACGCTGGTTAGTTGCTTGACCCATGTTTGGCTGGAAAGACTGCATACAAAAGAAAAGGCATAGTGACCTGAACTATTTAGTATAATGCCTCTTCCTCCACATAATATAAACAAATTTATTGTGTTTATGAAATAAATGGAAAGCTTCTACAAACTTAGACAAGAGTAAACTGTTATTTACTAAAGGACATATGCTTTAGGGCTGGAAATTTTCTATTTATTGCTGCTGCATCAAGTTACAGAAAAGATGAGAACAACTACAAATAATTAGTTAATCTACAAATATCACACAAAGTTTTGTTTTGCTGCCATAAAAAGTATCCATATATTGACAAAGACTATCAAAGCAAATATACCTGAGACTTCTCAAGTACAGGGGAGTAGAGAGGGGGTGATTCTGAGTGCTTACGACAAAGAGAGGCATGTTGTGTGTTCAATGTCAGGGAGGATGGTGTTGCAGGTCCACTACGGTGTTGTAACACTGGAGAAGATGTTGAGAAGATGCTGCTATTGTCACTTTCACCAAAATCCATTTCTAGCCTCAGGTCTTTATAACAATAAAGTTATAAAACTTAGAAACAGTGTTGAAAAATTAAACCAAAGTTTTGAATGACTGTTTATTATGTTCATATAAACTGATTTTAGGTTTATGACTTTTAGAAATTTTTGTTTTTCTGCTCAATTTAATTAATATCAAATTAATTAACAGATATAAAGGCTAAAATGGATTAATATAACCTCTATTTTTCTTACCTACTAACTTATGACTGGCTCTGTTCTTTGACCGACATGGAGGAGTAAGAGGCTTGTCATCATCATAGCCTAAAAACCTTGTCTCATCTAGATATTCTTGAGATGATGAGTCTTGATGGCTCATTCCTTCATCATCTGCAAAGTCATCATCTTCATTATGCCTACCTTCTGATTCATCACTTGGAGACAAAGAATCCTTGTCATCACAATAAAGGTCTCCAAACTTGTACCCTGAAATGTTTACAATCATTGTTATCATATTAATATTATAAAAAATGTTTGTATAATTATTTTAATATCATTTGCAAAAACAATTTCACAATTAGGGTTGGCACTCAACAGGTTATCTCATCATTCCAGGGTTGTCAACCTTAACAATTTTTTTAACTGACATACAAACATTCACCCTTTTTTTTATCGGCATCATTAAAATAAAACATTTTTTGTTACTTACAAGTTTAGAAGATTGTATTAAAATTTGACTTTTTTTTTTACTTACTGTCCATAAATTTATGGATCATCAGACCAAACCCAAATAACTATCAGAAGACATAATTTTTAGTTTTTAAGTACAATTAAGTGATTAAAGAATAGTGTTGAAATAAGTTAGAGTTCTTTAAATTATCAAACTTCCAACTACATTATCACAACCTCCCACTATATAGCATCACGCAAAGAAAGCTGGATAGTGACACCCAGTCAGAAGCAAATCAATCAAAGCTTTAAAACCTGTGTAACACAATGTATTAACTTACTTAATAACTTATTAAGTATGTGTAGCTGGGTTTGTAACTTGAGTGTGGAACAATTTTTCTTTTCCAAATCATTGTTGCTTAGGGCAAATATTAACTAGTTCGTTACACAGAGCTTAGCTACATAGCAAATAACTGCTCTTAGTAAATGTCCCAAGAATGAGCATTACTTTCTCAAGTAGCCTTGATAGGAAACAAGAAAAAAAAAAGCTGCCATGGCTCTTGACTGTTTTCAAAATTTTTTCTACCTGAGAACCACATTTCCTTTTCATGGAACTTAAATAGTAAAAAAAAAAAATTACTACATTTCATTGATATCAACTGGTTACAAAATACGATGGATTAATAGCCATGTTAAGTGATCCTCAACCCCTCTGTTTTGCAACAAATGCAAAAAACTTCAGTATTAAATTTCTGACAATCTAACAAAAGTTTTACTATCCTGTGGGTAAATAATGGCATTATTATTAATGAAGTGAAATTAAATAGAAAAACAACTCTATGAGCACTCAATGTTATTCCTTGTGTAGGAACCCACCCTTCCTGTATATCAAACATCTGTAACATCCAAAACATGTGTGGTAGTACAAGTGATTGACATTCCATAAAGCACATGAAAGAGTCAAATCAGTGATTACAAGCCTATAAGGGTACTTTTCTTGAAGGTCAAGTTCTGTTAACAAGTTATTTTCTAAAAGTGCTCTTAACACTGGTAGAAAGTTTACAGAAAACATCCACTCATGGGCATCGCTGTTTAATTTTATGGTGTTTCAACTGAGACAGTCATTAGAATTCTAGTAAATATGTAAAAAATTAGTAAAGACTGCTAAGATTAAGCCTATGAACACAGCAAATGAACACATAATACAGTGAACAACACTTGAGTAACATTTACCTTAAAATCTTATTAAATGAGGCATTACCAGCATCTTATTTTGATGATTCACTTATCATATCAAAAGTTAATGCAATAAGCATTCAACTGGATTAAATATCCCATCTGAATGAGTAAATTGCTTAAAAGTTCACAGGATGGGGTGACAAACTAATGGCAGTCTAATGATGATATCTCTTTAACTAAAACCCAGGGGAAAAAAAAGACAAAGGAAACTTAAACCTTAATAAACAACTTACAGATTACACACAAACTTTCAAAGAAGCAGAAAAAACTGGATCTCTAGATTTCAAGAATACCAGAATTAACTCTTTGTGGTAAAATAAACAAAAACACAAAGAAATGGTTAGTTAGAACAGACAAAAGTGGAGGGAACCCAGATTTAGGGTGTCTCTCATTACTGCTGAATTATTATAATAAAGAAACTATGGTTATTTTCATCTAAGAGATTCACCCACATTTTTTAATGAAGGAATTCATCAAAGAAGGGATCTTTAAAAACAACTGAACCAATGACTAAGTACACAGAAACAGGACACTTGAGTCACATGAAAGTAATACAATTAGAATAACAGATACAATAAAGGAGAGACCAGAATCAGGTGATTCAGCTATAGGAGTGAGGACAATATATGTCCAGGTTTGACAGCCCACATGTAAATAGATACTGGTTTATATCTAGGTTTGACAGCCTGCATGTAAATATATACTGGTTTATATATATATCCAGGTTTGACAGCCCACATGTAAATAGATATTGGTTTATATCCAGGTTTGACAGCCTGCATGTAAATACATACTAGTTTATATCCAGGTTTGACAGTCCTGCATGTAAATACATACTAGTTTATATCCAGGTTTGACAGCCTGCATGTAAATACATACTAGTTTATATCCAGATTTTACAGCCTGCATATAAATGGATAATGGTTTATATTCAGGCTTGACAGCCTGCATGTAAGTAGATACTGGTTTATATCCAAGTTTTACTGCCTGCAAGTAAATAGATACTGGTTTATATTTATTTAGTCTTTGTACAACCTCTGTTGAGTTATGAAACAGTTGTGACAGTGTGCCAATCAGCTTCAGGAATCTGGAGAAAGGGCTGAATACAGCAACTTGGAGAGCCAAGAAAATAAAATTAAAAATAAATATTTATATATATATGAATATTTTATTATAAGAAGTATTTTTAATGAAGCTGTAAAAGGTCAGTTTTGTTCTAATTAGGATACCACAGTAAAGATATCACATACATCACTACACAGAGTTGGTTCTGTTAATTGTAACATATTCTTATAATAGAGTTTTAGTTCCAAACTATATTAAACAACTTATTTTTTTACATTTAGACAATCTTTAATTACTCTATATTTATTTCATTAATATAATGGGGAGATTCAATATTTATAAAATACATTATTAATTGGTACCAAGTAATCATTAACAAGTTCCCAACTTTTCAAGGGTGTAAAATTTTAGATAATGTTCTCAAGGAATGCTCAGAATAAAAAAAAAAGGTTCATTATAATAATCCTAAAAAAAACATTATTACTGCTTTACAAGTAATCATTTCAAGACTAACAATTTATCAATTTTAAACTGGAAATTATTTTATGATCTTAATCAAGACTTGGCCACTGGAAAAATTATGTACTTTTATTAACACAAACATAAAACAGGGAAAATAACATGCAAGATAATGTTAAATTACTTTCTTGTTTAAAACTAAAGGCATTAAAATTCACTAAGAGCAGTGTTTTTTCTTATAATTCAGATTGACAGCTGTTATGAATACTGACAAAATTCATCTAAATGTTCTGTCGAGTTTGATCTTTTCACATTAAACTAACCACAATTTATCATATACTAACCAAACAACTTGGCTTGTTCCATTAAGTAGTGCTGTAACGGCAGTAAGTAAGAACGGTTATCGATGTTATGATCCCACAAAGCAGGATAGTCCAGGTTATTATACAAGGGTACTGGTTTTTGTTCAACACTGTGGGAACATTTTCTGTTATCTTGCTGGAAACTGCTCAAAAAGGAATTGTTAAAGTAAGATTCTAGAGAAACATCATCCTCATCATCCCTTTTGGATGAGAGGCATGGAGGTTCTTGATTGTCTTGGTTTGTCCATTTAGTTCTTGTTAAGGCCTGCCCATGACTCTCATGGCTAGTTTCAGATCCTTGGAATGGAGAATCTGAAGACAGAGTGGAACTTCCAGGTGAGCTATGTTTCTTTCTGAAGGATTCTGCACTTGATTCCATGGTCTTGAGTCGGCTCATGTCAGTCGCTGATGGACTAGCAATTGTGCTTTGGGACAGTTGTTTTCTATTTGTGGAAAATTTCTCAGAGACTGCATACCTGTAAAGCACAGCATCTTCTCTCTGACTAGATGATACCACTTCACTGTGATGCCGCCGATGCAGATGTTCCAAATGCTGTGATCTTCCTAAATGCCAACTTCCATGGTCTTTATAAGCTGGAGTGCAATTTGAATCCCATTCTCTTATGGATGAAGAGTCTATACTGTGGTGTTTCCATGAGCCCAGAAAATTCAAATGCTCTGGGTTAAGTGAAGTCTGTTGAGAGAATTCTGTGTTGAAGCAATGTCTGAATGCTGGTTGAAAGGGGTCACTTAAAGCAGATGAAACAGCAAAAGCAGATGAATCATGTTTCCTGCTGAAGATATGAATCACAAGAGTTAGGTATAAACTAAATATCCTTACATAAACAGTAGAGACAAATCAAATGACTTAAACTGATAAAAACATACAGATGAAAAAAATCCCAATGTAATATCAGACACAAATAAGCTTTTAATATTAGAGCATACAGTCAACACACCTAATTCCAGCATAACTACTACTTTTCAAAGTGTTCTGACTTTGAGAGACTGAGCTAGAGTCACTAGAGCGTCCAGAGTCTCGAGAAGCCCGAGAATACAAAGATGTCTGACAGTACTGGTCACCAACTGGGTGAGCCTCTTCTTGCGCATCTCCATTGAAAAACTGACCTGCATCAGAATGATGGAAAGGCGAAGAAGGATTTATGGTGTATTTATGGTAGTGATGGTGATTGTGTTGATAATGGTGCTGTAAAAAATACAAACAAAAATATACTTTGCCATACATTTCACAAAAAATCCCCATGTATAAGTACCAAGAAAATCAGTTTTAATCATATTGCAAATGAAATGTATATTCATGTTAATTACAAGAAGGTACAATTTTTACAAGAACATTTTTCACACATGCTAGTCCAGGGGCATGTTGCCATTATATGACAGCCTTGGATGTCATATATAGCACACATATATTTTGTTCATGGCAAATTCCCAATACCATCACAAGTAGATTTATGGTCTCAAGAAACATGTCACAGATCTTTCCCAGGAAGGATGTTTATAAAGTGAGAATGTTAAACAATAAAGACGAACCAAAGAATGCATCATTTCCAAGAAGGAAACTTTTAATGGTTTGAAATCTAAATTCTAACATAAAAATTTCTTTATATCCATTTGGCAAACAATACCCTTCTGAAGCTACTAGCTTAGACATTTTACATTAAATTATTTACATATAATTTCACTTCATGAATAAAGCATAGATTCTATTGTGCACCAAAACAATCTAAGGATGTCACACTGAAATGTGTAAAACAATGTGATACTTCTTTTTAATCCCTGAAACAGTTCACAAAAATATTGATTTGATACAGGTCTAGTCATGCTTATGAGTTCTGATAAAAACAGATATTCGAAATATCACGTACTGAACTTTGGATTAAAATCCCACGCAAAGCCAAAAAAAACTGAAATTTTCTTACTTTATAAGGTAACATATGTGAATTGTTGTCTTAAAATGTTTCTCCATAATTTTCTGAGCTACCAGATCCCCTAGATGATGTTTATAAAGTGAGAATGTTAAACAATTAAGAACCATTAGTAATGTGCCTTTGGTGCACAAGCTTATATATTTATCTCACTCTCAACACTTGAACACTTCTGAACCTTGCCAAGTTGGCATCTCTGTAGTGAACAAAGAGCCTCCTGGACAAAAACTTGTGATAATAAAAAAAAGAAAAGATCTGTCACACCATTTCTATACATCCTTGGTTTGAAATCCAAGATATAAGAATAATAATATTATCATAAACACCTATAGTTGAAATACTAAGCTGGGTTTTGAATTCTTCTTATGGGCTTCACAAATTACTTTCAGAGATAATAAAGTTGTAACAGCTCACTACTTTTACATTCCACAACTCAACAATAACATAAGAATGCATTATTCATCTGAAATTCATCACAATCTATTAAACCTACTTTATAACTCATACTTTGTTTATGTGACCTCCTCGCCATAATTATTAAAAAACTACAAGTTGATACAATAATTCAAAAAACACTGTTTAACTAACTTCTTTTTTAATTTACGTGACACTAAACTCTCCTGACTCATTGAGAATTGTCTTTAGTTATCTTAATGACACTCTAAACCCAACAATTGAACAGCCTTATTTCTAGAAACTCAATGACATTCTCAATTAGATTAAACTCTTGGTTTAATGTCATCAAAACACTAAAAGAATGAACTTGACAAATCCTTAACACATACTTACACTGAATGATCAATAAATGTTTACGTTATGTAGTATTTAAGCATTCTTATATCCAGTATTAAGTTAATTTTTTGAGTATTACTAAAACATTGCATAGACAAAGGATATTTATAGTATGGATGCTTACTAAGGATAATATTTCTTTTCCTTTTCTAGTTTCATTGGGTAAACATTTATCTTTTGCCAATAAATAAGTTTTTTTTCATATATATATATTTCAGTGCACATATAGATTTAACAATAGAAAGCTGGCTAGGTAGGTGTTGCATTGCTGTTGCTCTAGGTGTCACAAATACTTCCTTGTGGGGAAGATTGCTGTGTAGATATTTGCAATGATCTTAACCGTTGGTGAGTCTTGTGATACCTATAGAAATTGCATATTCCCTATTTTACTTTGGGATGACCAAATATGACATGGATAAGACTTTCCATATATGCTAATATTGGGAGGAGATGACAAATTTATTTGTTATATAGTTGTGCTCTTTCTATCTGAGACAGTCTATTACAAAACATCTTGAGAACAACATAGAAAATCTGGAACTCCTTTTCTGTGACCAAAAGATGCAATCAAACTTAAATTGTACTTGTCTACTTCAATTGTTTTGATATTGAATGAATATTACTTTGCACTTTTGTTTTACAGTGTCTCCAGTCTCTTTCTTACTGCAAATTCAGTCATGGCCAGAAACAAAGATTTGCTCCTTGATATATATTCTGTTAAACCTCCTGTTCCGTAAATATTACTACACTTTTCTGAATGAAGAATTGTCGAAAAAACTAGAATTACCACATATTTATAAGAAATGAGTCAGAAGTCTGGTTGGAATTGCTATAAAGATGAATAATTCATTTGTTATTTTATTGCTCAACTATGGGGCTTAAAATAATGCATCTAACTAATCTTAAAAATTACATAACATTCCATAAAAGACCACTACATTACTATTATGAACACTGGGAAGCAAACTCTAGAGTGATATGGTCTTCTTACTAGTTATATGGCTAGTAAGGAGAAACACTGATAAAGACAGAAGCATAACTGTTTTAACTGATTTAACTATCACATAGTAACCTGGATTTTCACACTATACTTAGTACAAAAAACAGTCCTAAGAAAATACTGGTCATTGCATTAGCTAGTTCAAGAAACAAGTGTTAGGAAAAGCTAGTAATGAGAGTAACAGGGATTATTTTATTGAGTAATTCAATAAAATAATTGACCACTGAACCAAAAGAGTAAAAGTAGCAAACTACAATATGAAGAAATTTAGACTTGTTTTAATATTCTGATATTTATAATGTCATAGTTAACATGACTTGTTAACCCTAAAGGTGATATTAAGACGGAAAAAAAAAAAGTTCTAATTTTCCTATACAAAAAAAAAGATATTTCGGATAGATACTTACCTTCCCTCACATAAAAGCTTTTGCTGCTTATTACTGAACTCTATAATGTTCAAAATTTTCATTTACCACTAGTCTTGATACTCCCACCTACCCCACATGTTTAACATGGTGTAGCTGCGCTGTAGCATATAAATAACCATGCGACAACCATTCACCAATAGGAGTGCAACACACTCTCCTGATGCAGCTAGTTCTCTCATGATTTTTAGTCTAACCTCACTTCGAGATTAGACACCAAGAACAAAAACACAATAAGAGGGGAGGAAGGGTGGGAAGAGTGAGAAGAGGTGTCTATCAGAAATACATTTTCTGTGTAGGAAAATAATAACTTCCAATACAATACCTTATGTCTACTCACATAAAAGCTAGAATCCCACATTGCTCTAGTGGAGGAACCAGTGTAACATTACCTAGACTAGCCTCCTTCAGAATGCATCTAACGAGAGCCCATGGAGTGTGACATCTCTGTGAAGAGAAAACACACTCATGGGAGACTGCACCACATCTAAACCAGGTATACTCTTCACCTTTGATGAAAAACATAGTTGCTAAATGGGTGACAAAGAGGCACATATGATAAAAAGCAGAAAGTGCCTCAGAGATAGAGAGAATAGGGCAAGCCTGGATAAAGTCTTGCAAACAACTCCATCCTCAAACTAATGGAACTGGGAATGATATATCCAGTCCCCAGAAGGAGGAGTGAACTTCCATTATTGGTGGATTAACTCCTGTCCAAAACTAGTTGGTAATGGGAAATAATAGTCTATACAACAGTAGGAGGAGGGTTCAACACCATCTATACTGGTAGAACACCACCACCCTCAACAGAATGGAAAAGAACACACTCAGGAGGAAGCCTCTATGGTCCACCACCCCAGCAGCTTGGAGCTGGTAAGTGGTAAAGACTCTCGTACTCCATTAGAAGAGGAGGGAATATGCTGGAGAGTCCGGGCAAATGCAGTACCGGAAACAGTGTGGTGGGTGACCGTGAACCCTATTTTGAAAAGCAGACTGATCTGATTTTATCAATATAAGGATTGGTAAGAATGGGCAGCAATCCTCTTCTGCCTTACTGATGTTAGTATATTGAGTATACTGCCTGGAATGAACATATTTATGATGCAAAACACCATGAAAAAGAATCTAAGAGTGGTCTTGCAGAACACTCCATCTCAACAGTGTGAGTTATAGACCTTAACCCATTGACTACCGGCTACTAACTTTCTTAGTAGGCAATGCAAGTCTTGCTATATTTCATTCCTACAATAAAA